ACCACTTTAACGACGTGACCCTCGACCAAACCCAGCAGGTCCCACTATCTAGCATAGGGAAAAGCCAAACCAAGGGTTAGGCGACCTTAACAATAAACATCCCAGGGAAACAGGGAACGGGATTCAAGGTTAGACAATTCACCATCGGCGCCTAGGTAGTCCAGACCCTATCCGCAGGATTATTGCTCGGACAAGATTTCTCGGTACCAAACGAAGTCGATATCCTAAATTCTAAGGGAATAATATCCATCGGCTCATACGGCAACCTAATAGTCGCAGCTCGCTCGACCCGACGGGGCCACGCGATCCGTCGTCGGGTCACGTGCCAAGCCGACGTCGACGTCCCCGCACATAGTACAGAACGCCTGCCGGCGCAGATCAAGGACGTACCAGGGGATCGTGACCTAGTGTTCTTTCCGAGAGACCTATCCTTAGCCTATAACCTAATCCGAGGTGCAACCCCAGTTACGGCGGTCAACACCACCGCTCGCCGCGTTAGATTTAAGAAAGGACAGCACTTAGGAACACTAGTAGACCTTAGCGACGAAATATGGTTCTCACGGATCGACCTACCCGAGGAAACCCTAGCTAGGGTAACTCCGACCAAAGAGCCGGCCGTACGGAAAACCACAGAACGTAGCAACCCACACCAGGTTACTAACCTATCGGTGGAAACCCCGGAGGAAGGGAGCCCCGAGTCCGCCGGAGGGGAACTCCCTCTATAGACGCATAGATAGACTCCGAACTATAAGATCGGGATTTCACGAGACCACAGCCTCCCGGAAATAACCACTCCAGAGGACGTCAAAATCTACAATCAGGACCCCGCGTTTACAGAAAAGATCCAACACACTATCGCCTCCTTCCCGACCCTATAGAAGGACCAGGGTACCATCAAGGTCCACCCAGACCACTATATACGCATTCCGCTAATAGAAAATTAGCACCTACGTAAACTAGCGTCTAGGGCTTACCCGCTTAGCCAGAAGGATAAGGCCCTAATCGACCAGACCCACGAGGACCTACACCGGAAGGGGCGCATAGAATGGGCCACAGAGGCAACCCCGTTCGCTTGCCCCGTGTTCGTGGTCTAGAGAACCGTACACGGCAACGAAAAGGGCCGAATAGTAGTGGACCTACGCGCTCTTAACAGCGTAGCTATCCCAGACGCCTACCCAATGCCGCTCCAGGGAGACATAATCCAGAAGCTACGGGGGAAACGCTTTATTTCCGCCGTAGACGCTCGGTCTTTCTTCCATCAGTTCCTCGTCCATAAGGAGCATCGGGAAAGGTTCACGGTAATTAGCCATAGAGGCTTAGAACGACCAACGGTGGCCCTAATAGGATATAAGAACTCACCCGCATACGTCCAAAGATTTATAGACTAAATCCTCCGGGAACACGCGGAATATTCCTCCGGGTACATCGATAACATCGTAATATACTCGGACACGGAAGACGACTATATTCGTCACCTCTAGGCTATCTTCCAACTCTTCGTAGACTATAACCTAGCCCTAGCCGGATCGAAATCATTCCTAGGCTACCCATCTATCGAACTATTAGGATTTCGAGTCGATAGCATCGGCCTAATAAACACCGAAGAACGAGTATAGGCATTACGGGACGTAGAGTTTCCAAACACCCTACAAGCACTAGAAAAATAGCTCGGCTTGGTTAACTAGCTGCGGCACCTGGTGGCCTACTTCTCCTAGAGGGTAGAGGCGCTCCAGGTTCGGAAAACGGCGATACTCAAGGAAGCACGGGATAGTCAAGCGCTGCCTAAAGGACCGGCAAGGAATAGATATACCTCCAAGACAACGTACCAACCCTCCTTAGCGGAGGAGCAGGCCTTCCGAGACATCACGAACGCTCTCACGGAACCAACGCGGCTATACCATTTCGACCCACGACAGCTATTGTTCCTACAAATCGACGCCAGCCGCGAGCTAGGCTTTGCGGTAGTGGCCTTCCACCTCGCACCGGGGGTAGACTAGAACCTAGGAAGGACCCCGCCCCGGACGAGCATCCAGCCAATCCTTTACCTTAGCAAACGCCTAACCGGCGGAGAACCTAGATACTAGCCCACGGAACTCGAAGTTGCCTGTCTTTCCTAGGCTTGTCGGAAGCTCCGGTCGTACATTATCTCCACCTTGCTACCGAAGGTCGTCGTGCTAACTAACCACGCCGCCACGAGCGCAATCCTAAAGCAAACATCGTTATTTACTACTAGCATAAAGACGAATAATCGGCTCGTGCTAGCGTCACAGTACCTTAGCCAGTTTCCCCTAGAGGTCCACTATATTCCCGGAACCGCAAATATCCTTGCCGATGCACTGTCTCGACTACCATCCGCAATACCTAGGAAACACGAACCTAGGGAATTAGACCGCGTTTAGGAAGATAAAGCGCCGGTCGAATACGCATACGCGGTCACGGAATCCTTTATCTAACCTAACCTACGCCGGAAGATCCAGGAAGCATACGCGGAAGAACCTAGGTGGGCCGGCATACTAGAGCAGCTTAGAAGCAATAAGTCCCGGGTCGGTCTCCCATTCGTTAAGCGGAACGGGTTGCTCTACCTGGTTAAGTCCGAAGGTCGTCACCGGCTCTATATCCCTACCACCTACGCCGAGGAAATTATCGCCGACGACCACGCGCGCAAATTCCACCCTAGACGGCGAAGGATATAGGAGGAATTATCCTCTACGTTCGCTATCACTAGCCTTAAGAAACTTATCGACGGGTTTATCGATAAGTGCGACGCCTACTATAGGAACTAAACCGACCGGTTAAAGGCCCCCGGCGAGTTAGTTCCGATCACGTCCCCGGCCTTACCTTTCTATACGATCGCTATGGATTTCGTTATAGGACTCCCGGACGTCCCCGCGGACCGAACTCCGTAGATGCTGCCTATCGGGGTCTACTATAACACACTACTAACGGTAACCGATAAGTTCTCGAAAATAGGGCTCCTCATCCTAGGCCACGACCAGTTCACCGCAGAAGACTAGGCCGAGGCACTATTTACCGAGTTAATGCGCTGTAACTAGGGGATTCCCGCTTAGATTATCTCCGACCGGGACCCTAAGTTCCTTTCAGCGTTCTAGAAAGGACTATAGACAGCGTATAGATCTAAGTTACTAGTATCCACGGCTTAGCATCCCTAGACCGACGGCTTATCGGAACGACGCAACTAAGTGGTTAAAACCGCGCTCCGGTTCTTTACGACCGACTTCCTATCCCGTCGATAGGTCGACGCGTTACTACCACTCTAATTCACCCTTAATAACTCTTACTCCTCGGTAATCGGCACCTCTCCGAGCGAGCTGCTAACCGGGATACGGATGGACGATGGCAGGCGACACCTTAGAGAAGGCCCCCACGGATAGACAGGGAGATACTCTAGGACCAGGCTAGGATCTCGATCGCTCTAGCTTAGGCAGGAATAAAAAAGCGGTATAACGCGAAGCACCGAGCACTAGAGTTCAAGCCCGGAGACTAGGTATAGCTCTAGCTAGGGAAAGGATACGGCGTAGCCGACGGACGGGTGGCAAAGTTAAAGGAACGCCGCACGGGACCATTCGAAGTCCTCGAGCGGATCGGCCATCTAGCCTACCGCCTCGACCTAGCCGGATCCCTAAACATCCACGACGTCGTTTCCGTCGCGCAGCTACGGCCGGCCGAACGACCAGATACCCGACCCGGCCCGGAACCTAATACTAACCACTAGGAAGTCGAACGAATCCTTAACGCTAGAACTCGTAGATATAGCCGAGGGACCGCTCGCACGGAATACCTCGTTAGCTAGAAAGGCTAGCCAAGCAGCCACAATTCCTAGGTGGCCGCCAAGGATATCGTCGCCGAAGACCTCATCGAAGAATTCACCGCGTAGCAAGGAGCATTGCAAGGTCGCATCACCCGCACCCGGAAGCTCCGCGCGCGCGCCGTATAACAGTACGAGCCGCCGTAGCTAGGGGAGAAATAACGGTGCGTAGTACGCGCCGTTACCGTTCGTTCGCCCGGAAGTCCGGGGACGGGTTAACTAGCCAATAAGTGTTAATAGGCCGCCCGCGGCGAACGGTAACCTAATTCTATGTTTTAGCACCCGCGTTTATTTTTATTTTAGAAACCCGATTTCCCTATCCTTTCACGCTCCCTTTTCCATACCGAACAGCTCCCCTCTCATACCTACCTTCGAGGTTCCCGCTATCTAAGGCCATAAGTATCGCAGCAAGGACCTGGCATTTCGCTAACATTTCTCCGACTAAATCTGCCGCCGACCGCCGCGCCTAAGCCTCGAGGGATTCCGCCGAGCAGTCTAATTATACGGGAACGAGGCGGAGCTCCTCCGCAACCTTAAGTCCAACACGGCCGCCTTTACCGAGTAGAAACGGGACAATTATAGCACGTACACTAACTACCGCGACCTCCTTACCGGAGAAGGGTACGATCTCGACGCGGGCTTAGTGGAAAACGGCACATACTACGCCCCTCTATCTCTTCCCCCGGCCAAAGCCCGTGATCTACGCGAACGTGACTAGCTATACTTCTCCACGCCTCGCAGCACCGCCGCCCGTCGCATTACCACCACGACTCCCGCAACCACCCGAACTAGTAGAAACGCGACGTTAACCATCCGACCACGGCAGGTCGGCGCTTCCCATCGCCCCGTTCCCAGCACTCCGTCACGCGTTCGCTTCGACGACCGTGCCCTATCGCCATCAAGCTCTAGTAATTCGTCCAGCGACTCGCTGCCCTTAGTTTCAGGCATCATAGGGAAAACCCCCGGCACCCCCCGAAACGCCCGCGGGCAGTTTGCCCCGTCGTCCAACAAGGACGAGCTTCTTCCCCCGTCGCTGCGCGACCTAGACGGAGCCATCTTCCCCGACAAAACCAAGAGGATAACTAGCGCCCTCGGAACCGCGTAGATCGCCACTATCTTAGCCGACGTCGTCAACAAGCTCCTATCCGGACAGGTGGCCTCTACGGACGCCGAGATGCTCGAGATCGTCGCCACCGTTACTAGCACGAAGTGCCTCCCCGCCTATCTAAAGATATTCGAGACCGCCGCCGCGGAGGAGCGCGAGGCCTCCGGCACACCAGGAACTCGCAAGTTTAGAGAGACCCTCAAGCGCACCCCGGCTAGGACCGGAGGATCTAGCACGGTAGACCTCATATTCGACGAGCTATTAGGGAACCCGTTCGCCAGACGCCTATTCGCCGCCGCCGCGGCCCCGCCCTCCACTCCCTCCAAGCGGGCCAACCCATTCGCCGAGGACCAGGCCCCGATGCCGGTCCGACAGAAGCTCAACCCCTTCTAGGTTCTAAGCCGCGGGAAGCCCGGACCATTCCCCATCGCACCTTTCGTAGTATGCTACGACAACCCGGGCGATATAGACGGCCACACGGGTATCGTCTACTCCGGGTCGGAAGCGCTGGTCTACGGAGCCCCGGATGCGGCCGTGATCTGGGCAAATCTGTTCGCCGCTATCCGCAAGGAGGCCGACGCCGACCTCTCGCTCGGCCAGTGCGCCGCCCTCGCCGGAGTGCCCGCCGGCTTCGTCTGTCGGTTCGCTTTCGCCGCCCACCTCCTGGACGACTCGCCCGAGCTCGCTGCGGCATACCAGAGAGCCGCCCGCGTCGGCCCCCTGCGCACGCTGGCCGCGGCCCGCCCCTATGCGGCCAACGTAATGGCCTATTTCAACTCGTTGGACTAGAAGTTCACCGACGCGTACCTAGGCGGATTCCAGAACCTAGGCCCGACTATATAGGCACCAGCAGTAGCAATCCGCAACCAAATTCTAGCCTCTCGCGACGGACCAGCCATGATGCTCCCGGTAGAACCGGCCCCGAACAACGCTTGCGGCGTGCCTATCTATAGAGCCTCCGATATATGGGATGCCCCGGCCGACGTGCCGGCAGGCCCCGAGGAACCAACGGAGGAGGAAGCCGAGGAGGAGATCCCCTGCCCTACCCCTGCCCCCGCGGCGTGAGACGGTCGGTCACCGGGTTAGCCTCGTGGTGTCCCCGGCACTATTCGTTTTATCACCGGCTTGGCCATGGAGCGCCCCCGGTTATGATTAGTTTTCCCCGGTTTAGCCACCTAGCGCCCCCGGTCCCAGTAGTATTTTGCTCCCGGCTTAGCCGCCTCGCGCCCCCGGTGTCAGTCGCACTAGGTTGCGTTCTAGACAAGAGACGAGTTGCTCCCTATGCCAACCTTAGAAATCTGCGTGACTTCACCACGATCCCCCGTCGGCGCGACTCCCGCCCGAACACCGCGGGAAACCGACGGGGACGTCGGTCAATTCTTTCGCCCCGGGCATTTATTACGGGACACCTTACGGTCGACAATCCAGGTACCCGGAACGACATCTGCTTCCCCTAAGGAAGACACCCCTAACTCCCTAAGGCTCCCCGCGGAAGAAGGAACCCGGAAGCCACCGGGCAAACTCCGGGAAATCACCCGGAATTCCCGGAAACGACAACCAAGCGGATTGCACGGACATTTCACGGAGATTTCCCCTAGGGACACATTGCACGGGGAATACACTATAATTTCCCGAGTAATAATAAGTTCCTTAGGGACTACACCGATATTTCCCTAAGAAGTTACTACGAGAATATAGCGGGGAAATTATAGAGAAATACCTATGCCTACCCAGGGAAAACACCGGGAAATGCCGCTAAGACACCGCACTACTATCGCACGATCATAAGGTTAAGACATTACTCGGTTAAAGCCCCGAGTAAGGTCTTACGCTCGCTATAGTATATATAGAGGATAGAGAACCCGCTAGATTTTAGGCGGGCAGAGAAGAATATAGATAGTCGTTACTACTCTTACTTTAACTCGCAAGACCGGTAGCCAGTCCGTATTCAACGCGCGTAACAACGTACGGTAGCTAGTCCGTATAACACGTTTAAAACCTACGTACGGTAGCTAGTCCGTTTTATTACCCGTTAGACCCGCACCGGATCCGGGCAGACGGCAAGGTTAACGTACCAGCCCCGTACTAAGGGACTAGTGCTTAACAGTATAAATAGATCTCTACGTCCTAGCTTAGCGATTATAACTACTTTTACCTCTCGAAAAGGTTTCGGATAGTAACTAATAGTAAGGTAGCCTTAATATAGCTAATAGATAAGACTGCCGATTATATACTAGATAGCGCGGAGTATCTCTAATATAATATTATCCGAGCCTAGAGATATATTCTTAGTACGTAGAGTAGCGTCGCGAGCTTCCTTAAAAGAGACCTAATCGGGAAATAGAATTATCTTATCTATGTTTATAGGAATCTATAGGTCTAGGATATCGTCGCCCGCTATACGCCGCTCTAAAGTTGCTTGCTATAAGGCGGTGGCTTTTTCTAGCTACGTCTTATATACTCGGCCGTCTACTTATAAGGGAGGAGCTTAAAACGGACCTAGAGATTTTAGCTAGCGAACCGCCCTAAAGATAGAATTACTATCGGTAAAGCTATCGATTAAGTCGCGCTAGTAAAGGCGTTTAGCCCGGCGTACTACTTTATAGAATTCCCTTTTAGCTAGTTATACTTCTCGGTCGAAGCTAAGAGGATAAACTCTCCTTTATACGCGGTATTTAGCCGCCGCCTTTATATAATCTTCGGTCTATTATAGCGCGCTATATATAGTCTTACGAACGGGTTAGCTAGTAGCCCTAGCTATATACCTAAGAAGGTTTACTAGCGCTAATATAAAGTTATTTAGCTTAGAGGGAGATATAATAGTAATCGGGATAAAAGCTATACTAGCTTCTACTTACTCGATAAATCGCTTTAGTTCCTTATCGGAGTTAAGGCGGATTTTACCTATTAGAAGGGGTACTAGGGCTTAGCCGGGCAGCGTAATACTAAGGGTAAAATAGTCGGAGCCGGTTACTAAATAATCCTTAATAACCGCATTAGCTAGAGGTATATTAAAGAAGGCGAGATCGACCGTGCTACCGCGTACGCTAGTCGGGACGTCGATAGTATTTAGTAGGTTAAGTTAGTTATCTATAGCCTGGAACGCGATATCTTTACCGCGGTTTTATTATCGACCGGCCTACCGGCTAGGATATCTAGCATTAAAATTACTAGCTACGAGGCATTTCTCTACTATAGCCTACTAAAGTAATATCTTTAAAGCTCCGTCGTAGTCTAGCTACTAGTAGTAGTTAACTACTATTATACTGTTTATAGTAAGCTAAAAGATATTATAAGTCGCCGTAGGTCTCTTTTAATCGGCGACGAGGCCTATAGAGCGCCGGACGTATATTATAACCCTTAGGCGGGTATCGCGGCCGCCCTAGCTAATAACGGGTAAGAAGGTATTATAGGCCGGATACGTCTTAGTAAGGCATCGGCTATCTTTTAGTCCTATCTATAGCTCCTATAGTAGGACGATATTATATCGTTCTAAGTTAGCTAGCGCGAGCGTAGTATTATACGCCGGAGGAATCTTATTAACGTTAGCTTAAAAGACTCGTAAGGCCCTTATATCGCTTTAGTCGAGTAGAAAACGTCGAGGCATTAAAGTAACGTTATAGGGCTAGTACGTCGTTTCTTCGACGGGACGATAGGGACGAAATAGTCGCCGTCGCTAGCGCGCGGCGGAATTATAGCTATAACGATATATAGGGGTAAGGACGCGACTCGTTCTTAAGTAGCGCTTTTGCCGGAGTTTCTATCCCCTTTAGCTGCCTACGGCATTACTAGCTCCGAAGAAAGTAACTAACTTATATTTGGGCTCTAACGAGACTAGTCGGATACATTATAATTTATTGTCTAGCGCTTCTACTGCGCGAATAGCTAGGCTCCCGCTTGCCTTAAAAGATTTACCGGTGATCTACCGGATCCCGTGACCCGCCGGACTTATACCGATACTCTAGGATACCGATATTCTAGGATTCTAAATAAGACGCGAACCTAGATTAAAAGCTTAGAAGCTTAAATTATTATCTCTCTATTAAATTAAAAAAGCTATATAGTAGTTAAGTCGGTAGTATAAGTATGCTAGTAAATACGGGGCCTAGGGTAGGGCCGCGCGGCCCCTCGTCGTCGCTAACTAAAGGTAGAATCGTAAAACGTAAGCTACTTAATAAGATAGTAAAAGAGTTAAATAAAAGTAGCTAATATATAATAAGAGCGATAAGAAAGGAAATAAGTAAAAATAAAAGAGGGGCTATCGACCTTAGACTATACTTAGTAAAGGGCACGCGTAGCTTCCTTACCCTTAAAGGTAATCTAGAATATAGATTAGCACCGAACTTAGGTAATACTATAGTAGGACGGGGTTACTTACTTAGTAATAGGACTAGTTAAAGTCGGCGTAAGCGATATATACTTTAGCCTTTATAGCTATTAAAGTTAGCTAAAAATACTAAAGGTAAGACTAACTTAAGATAGAACCGGGATTAATATTTATAGGACTAGTTTTAATAGCTAGTAAAGGACTTATAAGTAAGCTTATTAGTAAGACGCCCGATATATATAAAATATAGGATAGAGCGCTCTAACCCCGCTATAGTAGCGACTTTCTTATAAAAAAAGGGTTTTAAAGGAAGTAAGCTATTACTACCTAAGTTAGCTTCTTAGTTAAATATTATAATATAATAATAAGCGAACTAAATATAGTACTAGAAAGACCTAAAGTTATAGAAATAAGGCGGGTAAGATAGTAGTAAAGCCTATAAAAGAGATAGCTAATAAAGAGATAAGAGAAAGTATAAATAAAACTAAGGGGGGAGGGTAGGTATATATATATACGAGCTAGGCACGCGTAATTAGTAACTACGCGATAGAAGGTAAATATAGGCCGCCGCGCCCTTAATTAGGAAGTCGTATAGCTAGATAGGAACCGATTTTCGATTAGTAGAGCCGGCCGACCGAATTTTAATTAGCCGGCCCTACTTAAGAGCGACCTATACTAGCGCTTAGCCTAGCAACCGGATATTACCTGCCCTACTAATAAATAGACCGATAAGCCGACGCGGCCGCGGCTACGCGGTAGCGACGCGGGAGCGACGCGGGAGCTATAGTAAATAAAGGCGCCTATAAGTTAGGCCCTTAAAGAGAGACTACTACTTATAAACCTAGGCCTAGCGTAGCGAGCCCGGGCCGCGGCCGCTTAAGATAGTAGCGGCTATAGCCTAAGAGGGCCTACGCTAAGAAGCGATAGTATAGGAGGAGCCTATAGTAGCCGGCGTAAATTTCCTATATACTACTACTAAGACCTCGTTTAAGGTAGACCTATACTAAAAGAAGGGAGGGTTTTCCCTTAAGCACTTTAGTTTTTCCTTCTTATTTATTACTAAAGTTCTAGATACCTCTAGCTAGGTCCCTAGTATAATCTTAATAATAATAATAATATAAGTAAATATATAGACTTTCCTAATACCTAAAGATATACTTATAACCTTTTTTTTAAATCGCTCTCTTATATAAGCTATTTATAACTTTATATTACCTTTATATATAAGGGCTTTATAATTATAAGCTCTTATATAGAAATATTAAAGCTATAAAAAGAAGAATACTAAGAAGGGTTAACTATATTAATAGTAGTAGTAGTAAAGGTATATAGTAGGTTTTATACTTAAAATATAAATAGTAGCTAGGTACTAGCTACTTATCGCTTATATTTCTCCCTTTTTTATTACTTAAGCTTCCTTTTAGCTACTTTCCGATCTCGTTTCCTCTTTAAACGATAATCG